TATACGTGAATTTTACAAAATCTGCTAAATCTGCCGCTCCTGGTTGGAGGTAATACCTGCGCGAAATAGGGGAAGGACCTGTAATTTTCTTCTCCCGGGCCCGGTTTTTCTCTCTACGGTGGGATCCGTTTGACCACATTGCGATTGTCCACCAGCCACTCACAGCGTTTGTACAACAGAAAAACTCTAGACACCGACCACTATGAGTGACTAGTTGGTCAATCGCAACGTCGTCAAACGGGTCCTATCCGAAATCCTGCGCGTTGCATTGAGTGCACGTCTTTTGAGTGAGCTGTGTAGCATTTATACGGTCGAAGCTAGATCTTAAAATGCTTAAATAATTCAATCTTGAATCACTAAATATGATATATATGTACTTGACGTACATACCGCAATTGTAGTTTAACAAACTGTGCACCGAAATATTTCCGGACTAAACACAATTAAACCACTGTAGTAATTTCGCGAATTAAATTAAATTCTAATAATTTCGATGTTCAATCAGGCATCATATTTCAAAGATGTTAATATGCTGAAAAAACTGTAATTAAACTTATTGCGAAAAATATTACCTCGGCCGGAAATCGAACCCGGATCTCTTGTATTCCGTACGAGCGTCCTGAGCCATTAGATTACCGAGGTCTTATTTCGGTGCACCGGAAATATTTCGGTGCACAGTTTGTTAGACTACAATTGCGGTATGTATGTCTCGGTGGTCTAAAAAGTTTAGGACGCTCGCACGGAATGCAAGAGATCCGGATTCGACTCCCGGCCGAGGCATTATTTTTCGCAATAAGTTTATTACAGTTTTTAAGTTGGGAAATTTGGGGGGATTATTATTATTTTCAGATTTGATTGCGTTGAAAGTCCGACAACCATATCGGCACGCAATTATAATTACTGAAATTAATTCATTTAAATGAATTTACAATAGTTCAACATCTTAACGTTCTGACCGTTATGGCGCTTCTTAATTTAAAGCATTATGTTTAACATTAGCGGTCTTTCAATCTTATTATTACATAGTATGTATATCATATTTAGTGATTCAAGATTGAATTATTTAACCATTTTAAGATCTATGTAGCTTCGACCGTATAGGGCTCTAATTTATCGGTTGTGTCTCTCACATACACGGTCTAAAAATGATATTATTGTGTAGCATTTGTTTTTGCAAAGATCGCGTAAATAAACAAAACGCCTTTCGTTGGTTTGCTACAAAAAGAGTGCCGTGGTATATAAATCGTAAACAGCCGGTGATTCGAATGAAATCGTATTTCCGTGCAACCCTGTGAATTGTGAAAATATTCGCGCGGAGAAGTCCCGATCGACGTCCCACTCCCAATTGAATGCCGCGCCATGAACGCGTGGAGTCGCGAGCCCGCGAATGCGAAATCCGAGGACACGCCGCGGCGCAGCGCGCGCGTTCAGGCGGTATCGGCGGCATCGGCGGCATCTTGCCAGCGGAAGGACGCTATGGATGTGTTCGGATCGTCGAAAGCACGCGCTCAGAAAATCGACGGTGAGCATCGGTTTTTCATCACGCTATTGGGACTGCATCAGATAGACTGTTTGCTTGTTCGCTGGTATCGCTTGCGGTGCATCGCATGCTCTGACGCGCGCTCGTAAAGAAACTCTCGGAACTCTTTTTCTGTAACATTCATTTGCGTTATGTACACTACGTATATATACACTGAAAAAAATGCATGTAATTTTACATAGAAATTACACGTTTATGACTGGAAAATTATTTAAATTAGATAAACGTGATTGGAAATTTACTGGAAATTGAAACATTTAGGTAATTTTCCGATCATAGGCATGTAATTTCCATGAAAATTACATGCATTTTTTCAGTGTAGGTGCTAGCGCTTCAGCGTACATGGTGGATAATCGTCGTACTAACTGCGCGCCGTACATGAACCGTTGTAAAAAAAAACACAAAATTTCATATGATCGAGCTAACCTTGATCGCGTCGAATCACCTTTCTGTGTACCTATGAGTACTACTTTAAGAGATCAACAATTACTTCATTTTTACATGCTGCTTAAAAGTTTCTGCAACTTATTGCGTATATCTGATGAGTGGACTTGATGAATGGTAAAAATAAACAATTGGATTAGGAATGTATAAATTGTTCTTGTCATTGAGAGAGCTTCATTCATCTTGAATTTGCTTACATCTCATTATCGCCTCCTATCTATGAAAGTGGTTAATTGAATAATTATTTTTCATAAAAAAACTAATACAGATTTCTCAAAGAAAAGAAGCGAAGCAAAGTGAAGTGCGAGTTGTACTGCGACTGGCTGCCCACATCTTTAGTAGCTGATACATTGTAGCCTGTATAGGAGTAGTATTTCTGTACTGTGTCTATCCTGACTCTATAAATGTTTAAGGCTGGTAGTTAGCTATTGCAAAGTACATTGGACCCTTTCTTTTTTTTGGCAAGGTGCAGTCTGCTTTATCTTTCAGATCTAGAGGTCACGGGTATCTCCCGTAGTGGTCGCGTGAGGAAGAAATCTTCCAAGCTCGTCGACTTCGAATCCGATGATCTTACGGAAAATAAACTCAAGCGACAAAAGGCGCAGCAGCTACAAAGTCAGCAGTTCTTAGATCAGTATGAAGTACAACAGCAGCAACAGCAGATATTGCCCATGCAATCTACCCAAATGGGTAACGTTGGACAACAGAGAAAGAATTCAGGCTCGATACATGTACAACAAAGGCTTAAGGTGGAATCTCTGTCTGATAATGAGGGTCAGTCGTCCAGTTCAGAATCCGATGATCCCTCTGGGATAAACGAAGATGAGAGCATAGACTCTGGAAGCGACAATGAAGTAGATCCTCTTTTAATTGACGAAAGAGAAATGGGATTCAGAAAGCTAGAGCCACAACTAGGTCAGGAAACACCATCACAAGCAAATAGTTTATATATGCTTGAAAAATCTAAGAAAAAATTGGTTATTAAGGATGGAAAAATTGTAGGCAAAACAAAATCCCAACGCAAAGATAAAGGGGTACGTATTAATGAAGAATGAATATCAAAAGAGGGCTTTAATTTTTTGACATTTTTAGAAAACGAGATTTACTGCTTACATGCTATGGGCAAAGAAAATTAGGCAAGAACTGTTAGAGCAATCTCCTTACATGGGTATCTGAGCTATATTTTTTTTGTTAAGCTATAAATGCATGCAACTTTGATGTTGTTTATTGATTGTTGCTTTTTGTAGATTTTGCGGCAATTTCTAAGCGATTAGGAGAGCTGTGGGCTACAGTACCACATCTGGAAAAATATAATTGGCGCAGACGTGCAAAGCGCTTAGCAGCAAAGCCTCACTCTTTACCAGCAAATAAAGATGAGCCTGTTTGGAAAATGCCACCACCCGCCTCGCGAAAAAAATTCATTAATAAAATTGGTGGGTTTGTTGGGGTTTTTGTATATAGGCAATGTATGATGATATAGGCATTTGTATGTCATGTTATATAGTTTATCTTCACTTTTTTCTCCGTGTGCATGTGCATTGGCCAAAAATGTGAAACCAGATATATACCTATTGTGTGATTTTTGTAGTTATATCTTAGTTTGTCTCTTGTGCATATGTATCATTTAAATATTCAATACAGCATTAACAAATTATTCTGTATATGTTGTATTTCAGGTAATGGGAAAGAAACAAAGCCTGCTTCTACAAAGAAAACTATTCAACTCGGTGTGCCGTCTGTCGTTGGAAATGTTTCAATCTCATCACCGTCAAATCGTACCAATAAAGATCTGGTTAACGAGCCAGTAATAGGCACAGGAATGTATAAAGTCGTTGGAACGCAACCAATTGATGTTGCAGCTCATCTTAAATTGCTTGGTGAAAGCTTGACAATCATCGGAGAACGTTTGAAGGAGCACGATGGTCAAATAGCTGTTTCTGGCAGTCTTTCGGTTCTACTGGATTCATTGCTCTGTGCCTTAGGTCCATTAATTTGTTTAACGCAGCAATTGCCAGAAACTAATGGAGCTAAACCTGAAACACTTTCTCAAATGCTCGATAACATTGCTTATCTTATGCCTGGTCTATAATGTACAAAATATGTAAGTGTATATTCATAATAAGTGTAAATAGAAAAGTAGTATGAAAAATTAGACATAAAAAAATATATATTCTACAAGCGTGAAAACAAAGATAATGTTCATTTAAAAATTTAATCTTAAACAGATTCTCGTTATATTTCGTCTACTATCACATAGATAAAAAAAACATTATGTTTTATATAAATAATATATTTGTATAAAAGTTATAATAAATATTTAAATAGTCCTGCATTACATAACTAAGTAACTGTACAGCGTATGTAAACATAGCATCACAATTATTGATTATCTGTAGGCAAAATGGGTGGGCACGTACAAAATAGATTCTTATCGCCGTATATGTCGTCTATCCTTCCAACGCTTGGCCAAATCTTGTTGCTTCCTTTCACAAATGTCTAAAAAATTACAAAGTAATTATTATGAATTAATATATATTTAATACAATGTTCAAACGAGATTCTTACAGCAGGAAAAGCTGCCAACTCTCGCGAATATGGTCGATTCCATTCAGTCGTTATAACTTGCTTCTGCGTGTGAGGTGCCATTTTTAAAGGATTCTGTAAAATATCTAATTTTCCTTCTTCAATGTCCTCAATCTCTTTTCTTATAGCTGTCGAGAAGTACAAACGTGAATGAGACGACAAGAATGCTTGTCATTAAGAAACTTTAAGCATTATTCAAATTTTTTTAACTTACAGATTAAAGAATCACAAAATCTATCCAACTCAGTCTTGTCCTCGGATTCGGTTGGTTCGATCATTAAAGTACCAGCTACCGGCCAACTCATGGTCGGTGCGTGGAAACCATAATCCATCAATCTCTTCGCAATATCAACGGCTTCAACGTTGGCAGTTTTCTTGAAGTCTCTTACATCTAGGATAAACTCGTGCGCAATCAGCCCAGTCTCACCCTTGTACAACGTTTTGTAATACTTCTCCAATCTCTTGCTCATGTAATTGGCATTGAGAATAGCTACTTGCGTAGCCTTGCGTAAGCCTCTCGGACCCATCATCTTAATATAAGCCCACGAAATCGGTAAAATGGCGGATGATCCGAAAGGCGCGGCGGATACAGAACCGAGATTCTTTAAATCACTATGGTCGTTACCCGAACAATTTATTACTGGATGATTCGGCAGGAAAGGTATAAGATGTCGCTTCCTATAAATTATAGTTTTTTTAACTTTTAACAATAGAACTGTTCTTTGTCGCTGCACTGGACTGCACTGAAACTTTCTATCTCGCTTTCACTGAATTTCAAATATATATTTTATTTCAAGTATCATAAGTATAATGGGCTTTCTACAATAAGCTGTTACCTAAGTTTTAAGTCTTAAATCATATAACATTAACCAATCACAGTCGAATGTGAGAAGAATAATCGATTATGATTGGTCAGTTTCTTATAGTTTAAGACTTAAAGCTTAGGTAATGACTTATTGTGAAAAGCCTATAACACTAGTTCAGCCACAAAGAACAGATCTTATGTATAAGATTTTAAGATTTAAATAATTGCTTACACTCCGATAGGACCCATACCAGGTCCGCCACCCCCGTGTGGAATGCAGAACGTTTTATGTAGATTGAGATGCGACACGTCGCTGCCATAATCACCAGGTCGACACAAGCCAACTTGAGCATTCATATTGGCGCCATCCAAGTATACTTGACCACCAGCGTTGTGCACCATGCTGCATATATCGCTAATCGTTTCTTCGAACACTCCATTCGTCGATGGATACGTGATCATCAGACACGACAGCGTTTTTTGGTACTTGTTGATCATATTTTTCAAGTGCGCAATATCAACAGAACCGTCCTTTCGTACAAGGATAGGTTCCACCTGCATACCTGCCATTTGAGCGGATGCGGGATTTGTGCCATGCGCGGATATCGGAATCAAACAGACTTGTCGATGTTTGTCTCCCCTCGACTCATGATAACATTGTATAGCCCTCAAACCCGCGTATTCACCTTGTGCTCCACTATTCGGTTGGAAACTAATACCATCGTAGCCGGTGATTGCGCACAGATCTCGTTCGAGCTCGGCAAACAATTGTTGATATCCTTCAGCCTGCTCAAGCGGAGCGAAAGGATGTATGTCTGTGAAACCTTTCAAACTGCAAGGCATCATCTCCGTTGTTGAGTTCAACTTCATTGTACAAGAACCCTGATAAACGTTAATATTAGCAAAGAAGCAAACGTATGTATAAAAGTATAATATTAAAGAAAAAATAATCACCAGTGGAATCATGCTATGTACGAGGGATACATCCTTGTTCTCCAGAGACTTCATGTATCTAACTATTCTTGTCTCTGAATGATAGCTATTGAAGACAGGGTGCTGTAAGTACGAAATAGTACGATGGAAATCTGACTTGTCCAAACTTCTCGCGAGAAAGCTTTCATCTTTGACCACTTCTTCAACTGTAATATTCGCTGCAAATATCTTAAAAAGATCATTCACGTCCTCTGCTGTCGTCGTCTCATCAAGAGATATTCCAATCGTACCAGTGTTAAAATATCTGTAAATTTTCGTTCGTAATTTTATTGATAACATCATAAACTATTGCTGTCTATTTAGGGAAATACCTCAAGTTTATTTTAGCCTTATTCGCATTTTCCTTTATCACCTGTACAGAAATCTTTGGCGATACTGTAATGGTATCGAAGAAGTATATGTTATTTATTGCATTTCCAGCCATCTCCAAACCCTTCGCCAAAGCTAACGTCAAATTGTGCACTCTACTCGCGATGTCTCGTATTCCCTGAGGTCCGTGATATACCGCGTACATTGCAGACATATTAGCGAGCAATGCTTGTGCGGTACAAATATTGCTGGTAGCTTTATCTCTTCTGATGTGTTGCTCGCGCGTTTGGAGGGCTAAACGATAAGCGTCCTGTCCGTTGGAATCTTTGGTAACACCTATCATTCTGCCAGGCATTAAGCGCACCAATTGCTGTCGGCACGCAAAAAACCCAGCGTGAGGTCCACCATATCCAAGAGGTACTCCAAAACGTTGGCTCGTACCCACGCATATGTCGACACCGAAATCACTGGGCGGTTGAACCACAGCTAATGCTAGTAAGTCGGTAGCGGTGCAGACAAGTGTCTGTAGGAAAATACATTATTATTGTAAGATGTCATTTTTAACATACAGTGAATACAAAACATATTCGTATGCATATCATTTTTAAAAAGTAAATGTTAATTAGGATTTTGTTAACAAAGAATAGATTGTATATTTCTCAAAATTATTTTATGTGTAATGAAATATATTATCTTAAAAATAATTAAGAAAAATTGTATGAAGTGGCTGGAAAAAATAATTATGAAAAATTGCATGATTTAGATTCACAAAAAATATTTGCACAGTCCAGAAATTTAGATTTCTAAAATCAGAAATCACGTGAAGCTCTTTTGTTTATATTAGGACAGAACATGCTCATTGTATAAAATTGCAAATTAATATTTATTTTCTATAAATAAGGCTTTTTTATAAAAATTCTCCTGAATACTTTTTGCATTCACTATGTGTGTTAATAAGCGTTATAAAAATTACTTATAAGAAATATCTTTATTGACATATATATTATAATTTTTAATAACATACCCCCTTAGCGTGCGCCCTTTTAACAACATCCTCAAAATCGTGGATGCAACCATTTGTATCGGGATACTGTACGAGAATACCGGCAATATCTTCTCCGCTGGTGTCTACTTTAAACACATCTCCAATTTCTAACGGCAAACTTAAGGAAGCAGCGCGTGTTGCGATAACACTAATTGTCTGAGGATGTACTTGGTCGGAGACAAACAATTTTTTTCTCTTATTATATCTATGTGCAAGTGCCAGAGCCTCTGCTGCCGCTGTCCCTTCATCCAAGAGGGAAGCATTCGCCACATCCATCCCCGTGAAATCACATATCATAGTTTGGTAATTCAGTAAGCCTTCGAGCCGTCCTTGTGAAATCTCTGGCTGATAAGGAGTATATTGCGTCGTCCTGTGGCGAAATACAATGAAATTGTTTTTACATAACCCTCTTACGTATCTCATATTTCTTAATATTTTTTAGCACACGATTTACCATCCAGGATTTTCAAAAATGTTACGCATAATCGTATGCGGTACGCAACAGTTATGGTATCCCATACCTATGTAAGAGCGCCATACATCATTCTTTTCCGAAATTTTTGTGATCCTCTTTATTAAATCGTACTCGGCTGCAAAAATTATTGTATTAATTTTTACTTTACTTTATAATTTTAAAATTTTTAATTATATATATATATGTAGAAAAGAATTTTATTCACTTCACGTACAAAAGCCGAAAAAGGGAAATTCTAATTATTATATATATTTGATGTAATATTACTAAAACGAAAATGCAAAAATGTGATGAAGAAAATATGCAGTAGCATATTTAGTAATTACAGCACACGATATCGGAAAAAGAAATTATATATAGAATCTATGTAATGATACGTAATTAAGTCTATTTGAAAAGAACAACACGTGAAAGCAAAGCAGACGCACGAGATTGAACTTTGACCTGAGATAATGATTTGCGTGAAAGGTTATCAGTACTAGGGCAAGTCGAATCGTATAAGTCTCGTGACTTGTCACGTTTTCACGGAATGAACCATCGCAATTATCATGTATCTTACAATAACAAAAAAATATACATTTTTGCTATTTATATATGTTCTTAAAAAAGAAACCTGTGTGTAATTTCGCAGCATTGGAACAAAAGCCTAACAATTTACTCCAAATTAGCACTACCACGTGTTGATAAAATCTAAGTATCGTGTACGCTAATTGGGAAAATTACTCACTAACTGGCTCATCGAGATTTAGATCTCCCTTGTGAAGAATTTTAGCTGGTACTGCGGTTTCCGTTAATTCATCAAGGCTCTGCAATATTGCATCGCAAACAAAAATTAATTCAGTTGCGATACAAGTAGTTTCATCGTATAAATGATTTTCGGAAACAAATTACCTTGAATCCAATTAGTCTTAACATCTCTATCTGTTCGTGTTCTCTGGGTCCAATGTGTCTCGCTTGAAATTCTTCTTTTTGTGGAAGCAATTTACTCATATTCTGTTTCT